AAAATGTCTTTCGCGAAATGGTTGGTCCCAGTAAGGAGAAGCCCTGGGTAACATGCCGTTGGCCAACTCTGGAATCGCAGCTCACCTGGCGGCCGAGTATGCCGGGGGCGGAAATATCTTCATACATATTTCGTAGTCCAACAGAGGGTCAAGATATCGGAGCCGCTTCGATCACGGGGCCGCGCTTCCATCCCCCAACCTCAACCAGGACGCGATAGGGGCGCCATTATTATTGATCTTAACGGCTCGAGATAAGAATTCATTCCTCGCGACAATTGCCTCTTCAGAATTTTCGTCTCTTTTCTTTTCTTCCATACCAGCGCTGAAATGCTGATCATTGCTCTTGTTGTATCGTCCCGCGTACTGAATTCCCCCAGCCCGAGGGGAACGCCAAGAAAGAGTACCGTCGGCTAGTTCACGCCAGAAAAATCAGGATGCTTCGGCGGGCAACGACCGCCGAACCCTGGAGACTCTCTCTCTCCCTCTGAGGTGGTCCAACTGGAAAAACGAAAATAAGACCACACTGATGCCACGGAGTCGCTATCACTTGGAAGACGTTTCCGCACGGAAGTAAGCGGAACGTGCCGCAGAAGTCGAGACGTTATTCCGTATCGGATGCACGTTCTGTATCCGAATCACAAGTGGGTGCTCGGAAACGTTTCTAGAATCCACGGAGACGTGGGTCGATGAGTACTTCCGGATCAGATAATGTCGATGAGAGGCCTCCCGGTAATTAGGAAGGTAACGGATTCCTCTGCTGGATGGAATGATTGAAGGACTGACATTCGATTGAGACAAGGATTTCATACTGTGTACTTAGACGGACCGGATTAACCATGGGCTGATGGCTCGGACGGCGGAGCCCGGGCTAGTTGATAAGTTTCGCGGGCCGCTAAAGTATTTTTCGATTTTCGGGAAACAATTATTCGATGGCTCAGGTCTGCGTGACCGAGGGCTGATTTAGCTCAGAAAATAGGGGGAAGCCGATCCTGGGGTTCGTAAACCGGGAGATGACGGAAGGTTCAGGCAGAGGCGAATCGATGTTCGGCCCTCCATTGACCTGATCCGTAAATCCACCTCTCGCAGTGAGCACGAGGTGATCTCGACGAGAACATTCTTCCGAAGGGTCACAGCTTTCACTGGAAAACTGACAATGAGTGATTTCAGCTCTTCGTTCCGTGCGTTCATGCGTGTTTTTTTCCGCATGCAGATTCACCCATTGATCAGGCCAAGGTGGTGCGGCAGTAATCGTGCTGGCAGTCGACACAGGGTTCGAGTTGTGGCAATCAAAAGAAAGAAAAATCGAGATGTCTCAGAGGATCTCATGCGCTATCGATCCCGAGGTCCAAGCTCCGCGGTTCGAGAGGCAGACGAAGCTGCGTTGGTCTGTTTAGGTTTCCATTTTTCCCTCGAGCGTGGTGGTGCTCCGTAGTGCAACGTCTGTCGCTTATCACCGCGACCCGCTGTTGCCGCTGCTGGTTGGTGTCGCATAAGAGATTTCATTCCGCAAAACACCCCCGGAGAGAGGAGTCCGCTCATTCGTACGTGCGCCGCTTCGCCGGCTGCCGCATTCATTCGAAAAACGTCCACTTGGCCGAATCGACCCCACTTTGCATCGGGCCGCATCTCCGGGAAAAGATTTTCACGCGCATTCTAAGCAACTCCTTTCGCATCCCCTACGTGCGCGGATTCCCCGACGGCTTTCGGGATCTTTTGCTATTCTCCACTCGATAGAATCAGAGATTGATGGAACTCGTGTGAATTGGATTTCTTTTTCGTTCTGCTCCATAGGAATTCCGCATCCCTTTACATAGCTTCTCAACGGAAATTTATCCCTTCGCCGCTCTCCCCCTATCCTTGCGTCAGACACCCAGGTCTCGACTCACCAAACAATATCCTACTCAGTCCTCTTAGAGCGCGCCGAATAGACGTCAGTAGCAGCAGCATATTCGGACGTCATTGGAGCATGAAGCCCACCGCTGGGGATTATCATTAGCCTCAGAATCATTGCCATCATCAAAATCGACGTCGTAGTCATCATCTTCCGACCATCAAGAGCACGAGCTCCATTTGGGGAGAGCCGCCGGTCTCTCCTCACATAAACATGCTCGTGGCATCATAGCACCTGCGATTCCGGAGGTGCGCGAGGTAGGACCGAAAACGCGCGGTATACCGGCGCGTTATTCAACCTGTCCTCTCATCCTCGTTCTATTAGAGGAAATGACGATGGGCCAGAGCGTGTGGGGCATCGGTCGGAGAGGAAGGGCCAGAATGGTTGTTCGAGATGGAGAGTGACGTGGTAATCCACGAAACCCACCAAGCAGTTGAAGCCGATGACGATAGTGCAAACGACTGACGACTCTCGACAGCTCCTAATAATCTGCCAAACTTCAAATATGCCGCTTATGAATATTCAAGCGATTGCCAGAAATTTTGTATCGCTCCCGAGCGGGGATTCGCAGTCGCTCAGACCGAAGGACTCGCTTCTCTTCGCAGGCAGCCAAAGCGTCATCGACGGCACAGTTCCGATATCCCCGTAAGTGTGGGCTCGGGAAATTAGAGTGCCTTCCGGAAAGTGGGCGCACGAGTTTTCATCTCGGCTAAGAAGAAGGTTTCGCAATTTTGATTGCGATGACTACTGGTTGGCGCAAGCCTAGGTCTCGTCGAGTAGCTCTAGGTCCACCAGCCGGGGAGCAGCTCTCGGTGGTTCTGATGATAAACGCCCGGATTAGCACGAGTCCGAAGCTAACTGCTCGGCTGACGGGTTTCGAGACGCCGCGAGTCTTATCTCATGTTTCATCGTCACGTCCTGCAAAATTCAACTCAAATGCGAGAGAGGAGCCTCTTCCGTAAGGAACCGACTTCCTCTGCAGCCGGGTCCTCAAGCAAAAGTTTGTTCGAGAAGCCGTGAGTTCTCAAGCTCGATCGCTGTCCCTCCGACTCACCGGATCAATTGGTCGACAGCGGGTACTCGGCTTCGCTGCGTCGATTATACAAACATCGCTCTTCGAACGGACCAGGGAACTTTTGCGGTGTTTGCAAGAAACAGAATAGGAGCTGGAGGGAGTCGATACAAATTCAATGAGAGAGCACATTTTTGAACGATCACTCCGCTTCTTATAGGTCGCTAAGCCGATCCCCGAATCAGCAGCCGATATAAGGGATGGGCTCTAGCGTTGCGTCGCGGGGCAGGGGGGCGAAAGTTCGAGAGGACCAAAGAGGAGTTTCTGGCTGGCTCGCTACGAGAAGGTCGCGGAGGAATTCCTTGTAGAATGGAGAGATGGGATGGTGCGTATCTGATCATTCGAAGAGGCGCGCCTAGGTCACGGCGCATGCCGTGGAGCGTCGGCGTCGCCCCGCTTGTGAGGCGCCGCCATTCAAACCTGAACAATAATCCGGTCCCTTCCCCTGTATGCGAAGACCTCCATGGTGAGCTTGCACCTCCCAGTTTTCTCTTTTCAATCCCCCCGCTCGAATGACTCATATTGGAGATTTTCCAGGAGACGTTAGCAGCTCTTGCCAGTCTTCCGCAGTACAGCGTCAGTTTCACAACTCACGACCGGTCTGCTGACCCTTCGAAAGATCGCAGGTCGAAGCCCGGATGACGTAAGCGGGGAATCAGTGATCCGGGCTCGTCTCTCTGAGTCTTCTCCCGACAGTTTTCAGCTCTTTCGAAACGACCTCGACCTGCAGTCCAGATCGTAGTCCTGCTACTCCCTAAGGCCGCTCCTTCAGGATGTTCACAAGAAAATTTATCGACTGCCAGTGCTTCCCCACAGCTCGACGACGTGGACATTGATGATTCGTAGCGAATTTACTCCTCCCCGAGACTACAATAATGATTGTGCCTCGAGCCGTCCCGTGCGCCGCGAACGTCACGGGGAATTCCCCGCATCCCGTGCAGAAGACTATGATAAGAATTCCCATCTTCAAGAAATACATTCTTGAGGGCAGTCGCTTTTTTGGATCCAGTCTCCGTCAAGGAATCAACGGGAATCAGATCAGCCGCTCGCTAGCCCGCTGCAGGGCAGAAAAACATCGACGTTTTCCGTACTTCTACTCCTCGTAGTAATAGCAGAGCACATATTCTCTGCCGTCCCGCTCGCATGTCGTATAGCTTATCTGCCTTCATACTTTCCTGTTCTTCCCTGTGGGGTAGGTCACTGAGGGGATCCGGGTATCCATTGTCTTGACCTTATCGGTAGCCCCCGTCACTCGTTTATTGCTGGCGACACGTTGATAGTATCAGGCCAGTGCACTGCTTCTCTAATGCATGGCGAAATTAGCTCATGATAAATGTGCTCGTATACCGGAGGAAGCGGCACCGATTTCATGAAGACTCCAGGTATTCTGATGCTGCTCGATACTGGTTTCGTTTCGCTTGCCTTAAACGCTCAAGCAATGGAAAGGCGCGGGCTGGGCATTCTCTGCTTTTTCCGGGGTAGGCTCCCGGCTGGCCATCGTCACGTGTCGATCCTCGAGAGGCTTTGCATGCGGGAACCGGAGTCTCGATGACTGCGCAACGCTTGCGCAACAAACTCGAGTCCGACATCGCCCGAAGCCTTCCCGGGGTCTGCTCGATAGAGAATTCCTTGCACCTCGCGCGTCGCAAGCCCGTCAAACATTGTCTCCTAGCGCTCCTGGGTCCGACGGCTGCGGTGACAACGTTGGAGAAGATTTTCACTGCGTTCGTGACGAGCCTCGGAATCGAGAGGGACCGTATGTTCTCGAATACTCGAGAATTCCGGCTTCGCTCGGAAGAGAGGGACCTATCGCATCGTCTTTGACTATCGGGCCGCAGATCATTCATCGAGTTTCCGATGTTGAACTGTTCTCGACTCCTGAGCGTGAGATTCCCGATTCTCACTCATGGGAATTCAGATCTCAGTTTTTTTTCGGAACTTCGGGATCCCCACCAATCCCCACCTTGTGCCCTCTCCACCTATGGCTCGATGTTGCAGCAAAAACGAAGCTTCTTTTGAAGAAAGCTTCTGTCCGAGATGACTTATTATCAGCGCAGCGGTCAGAACTCGCCGTATCATTACAGTTACGCATCAGCTCAAGCCTACGATTACTCACAGAGTCATGATCTCGATAACATATTGGAGAGACTCCTGAACATCCGTCACACAGGAAGCCGGTACTGTAGGCTGACCCTCAACGAGTGTATATACGTTGCTAATCAAGCCATGAGGGTTTTCTACAGAGAGCCATTCGTTAATGAATCATTTTCGATGCCATGCAAGATCGTCGGAGACCTCCACGGTTTGTAGAAGGTTTGGAAAGGCTTTCAATGAGTGGATTTCGATCGATTCGGTTTCCTGGTGACGAGGAAGAATTCCGGGCTCCTCGATAATTAGAAATTCATTGAATCGCTCTAAATGCGCAGGTCAATTCGTCGACTTTCTCCGACTACTGAGCGTTTGCGGCTATCCACCGGACACATCGTATGTATTCCTAGGAGACTACGTAGATCGAGGTCCGAACGCTATAGAAGTGCTGATGACGCTCTATATCTACAAGATCAAATACCCTGAAAGAGTACTGCTACTCCGCGGCAACCACGAATGTCCGCGGATTAATGCGATGTATGGCTTCATGAGCGAATGCACTATGCGGTTCGGCTTCTCGGTCTACACAGCCTTCAATGACTCGTTCGCCTATATGCCGTGTGCCGCGATAATTGCCCGCCGCATTTTCTGCTGCCACGGTGGCATCATCAAGGATCTAGAGACGCTCGAGCAGATCACAACGTTTAATCCTCGACCGATTCACGATCCTGAGATCAAGAGCACCGTTACGGAGCTCTTATGGTCCGATCCGAATCGGAGTTTCGATGGCTGGGCGGAGAATTACCGCGGCGCAGGTTACCTGTTCGGAGAGACTGCTGTGAGTTTTTAGGTCAGAAAGGCCACCGAATCAGTCAGACAGTCGCAATCGATAGATCCGAACCCATCTTCCCTTTCAGCTGACCGAGTTCCTGGATAAGTTCAACCTTGACCTCCTCGCACGCGCTCACGAAGTGATGCAGGACGGCTACGAACTTTTCTACGACCGGAAAGCCGTCACGATTTTCTCGGCTCCGAAGTAGGTTACCTCACACTGCCCACCACCCGTCAATTGGCCGCAGGATTCTCCAAACGCGCGAATATTTCGGTCTCTAGCTGAGAGACGTATCTTCCAGCTACTGCAACCAGTTCGATAATGCTGCTGCCGTGATGTCTGTTTCGGCCGACTACACCTGCGGATTCGTCATCATAAGACCAATCAGCTATGAATTTCCCCTAACCCGGGTTGACGAAGTCGGTGGACCAGGCTTGCACCAAAGTCCTCCCTATGTTGCGATGGCCTCGGAGAATTCGACATACGCGCTCCGCGGAGCAACGGAAGCGAACAAATCGAGCGGACCTGAGACGCAAGGAAAAAAAAACGAAAAAACTTCGGTGGCTGCTTACCATGCAGACTGACCTGACTGCAACATGGGGGCTCATCGCCGTTTTCTTTCGTAGGGCCTATTTATATGGGCAATCGTCAGTAGAGACACCCGCTCGAGGGAAGTTTTGTAAAATACAAATGTAATGATCAGTTATTGTTGCGGCCCGAAGACCGTGCAGATCCAGCAGCTCGAGGTCGAAGCTCGGATACCCCTTCGGACGGCCGAACTACTTATTCCATACTAACACCTCTCCTTCGGAAATACCTATTTTCGGCGGCATCTAATACCGAGAATTGTAGCAGACTTTGGCTCTGTCTTCGATCTCGTCGGACCAGACGACCGGAAGCACACCGATGACGAAATGAGGCTCCGTTCGCAGACGATTGTACCATGTTAACGGCGATTTGCTTGGTCTGGTCTATATATTCCGCTGTAAACATACTTGCGCGGAGGCAGGTTAGGGTATTGCGCAACTGATGTGCGAGGTCATCGCCGACGGGGACTCGGAACGGGGGAGTCGTATCAGTAGTGGTGAAACATTCACCGAAACGACGTCAAGATGCTTATGTGCGATGAAGAATTAACCCACGACCTTCGTCGCTCCGGAGGTGCTCTCTCTAGAGTTTGCCGGCGGACAATTACGGCCTCCGCTCTCCAGGCCGCCGCTTTTCGTCCAGTATTCTGAGAAATTCGTCGGCTGTCTGTCCTGAAGCGACACCGGATAACTGCCCTGGAGGGAATTCTCTGAACGTGGGATTAGGCACTTTTGGAGAAAACCGCAGCCGTATCGTTCCCCGACTAGAAGAAGATCTTCAATCCCCGATCCTCGGCATTCGGGGATCCTGCGGGCTCTCAACGGTTCAGCGAAGGCTCGACCAGTAAACGCCGCGCCGTCGACTGATTTCTGTCCGGCGTTTCTGGACAACGTGGTGTGAGTAGAAAACATCGTGTGTTACGTTGCGTCGCGACGACAACCTGCAAAGACGTCATTGATCGCTTTCTCGTCAATAGGTGCGCCTTACCCCTACGTGCTTACTCCTCGCCCCCGGAGCAATGCTCACGCTCATATTAGAAGCGATCGCAAACGGCGAGTCTATAAGCTGCGAGAAGCGGAGCTCTTTTGTTCTCCGCTCACAGACATGCGTCGATTGATTGCGGGAGATTCCGTGTTTCCTGCGATAGATCTCTATTGGAGATGGGATGCGGCGCTCCTGTTGTTTCTCGCTTTTCCCGAGGGGGAGAGGGAATCAAAAGAGTTCCATCTGCAAGTATCTTTCGGGAAGCCAACGAGGGGCCGGGAAGCCTTGGTTCTAAGCTGAGGGCGGACGATGTCCCGTAAATTCGCTCCGGTTCCATGCACATACAAGCGGTCGGAATGGGAATTCTCGGTTCACCAGATTAAAAAAGCGCTCGCTCGGGCCTGATCCTGACAGCTAGCCGCAAATCTACTATGGAAGCGAATCTGGACACCTCTCTGGCCGTGTTTCCGCTGTATTAAGTTTTTTTGGGCCCACCGCGGGGTGCTGGCCTCCGCTGAAACGTCCGAAGTCCTCAATCGGCGTCGCCCGCTGTGATAGGATGATGATTTGTGGGAAAACGATGAGCTTCGGGTTCGATCGTTTATAAAAGTACAAGCATTCGAGACCCGAGGTCCCTAATCCTGGACTCAAAAGAGTACATACTCAGTTTTCTGCCTGACTCATCCTGGTGGAGGAACTGTCCCGGAGGCTACGAGCTTCGGTTTCGGGGAAGGTTTTGACGGAAGTATGCGCGTAATTGGAAAATTGTAATTTATATAGAAATCCGAATGATGGAAGCAAGTGTGGAATGCAAAGGCTCTTTCCGTCAATGAGGGAAATATCACTCGTGTCTCGGGACTGGAAGATTGGCACAATGTGTCCATTCTTCGATTTGCATTTCCCTGACGGACTTACTCACCGGAAAACCATTCCTCTCTGTTAATATATTCCCTGATTTGACAGATGTCATACGTATAGAGACGGAAGGGGAAATGAACTGTTCATGCTCTTGCACGAGTGTGAGTGAAAAGGGAAAATTCGAGGAATTACTCAATGTTTCTTCCTTAGGTACCTTCTATTTGACCCGATTGCCCGGCGTGTCCTGACTTCCTGCACCTGTGCGTCCAAGCAATCTCTGGAGAGACGCGATCAGGTTCCTGAGGATCATAATGAGTTTTGTCGGGAAAGAGAACTCGATCTCCGAACTGATAGCGCTTGCTCGAGAATGGACTCAGTTCATTTGTAAGTCCATAGCAGGACCTCATTTGATTCTCGGACTCGATTTCAGAAATGCGGAGAGGCTTTTCCGCCGTTTCCAGCGCTCCTCACCCGCCCAAGTACCTACGATTGTCCTGGTCACCGACTGAAGCTCTCCCACAAGGTCGACGACAATTATGCAGCTTCAGGAGCAGCCATTATGCACACTCAAGGTCCTCAGAGATAATTCTCCGATCATTGTAGCACCACTACGACTACCGCAATGGCGAGAGCCAAAGGACCAAAAACACGGCCGCGACTCAATGGAAGTCTGTCTCTGATGGCTAGAGGTCTCAGCCCCTAGGCTCGTGTCACCATAAGACAGTTACCATAATATTTTCCGGCACTCCCCGCGGGAGTTCGCCGCACAGTATGGTCGGTTCAGGATGGGACTTCTAGCTTGATCACCTCGTAGATCTCCCCGCCATTTGAGACATTTCCGACAAGGCCCCTGGTGCAGCATTTTCCGAAGCCTCCCTCATCTGTAGGCCATTTTTTCGCAATTCCGAGCGACCTCCGAGCGAGCCTTCGGACGTGAATGTTTCGGCTGCGAAGCCTCCACGGAGCCCAGGGGAAGAATTCTGTCATTGGTTCGGGAGCAGACGCGATCCGAAGATGTGAGGAGTCGAAAGGCTCGAGCAGAAGTCTACGACATTCACCTTGGAGGCAAGAAAATTGATGTCTCCGAAATGGCTGATCAGCTCCGGATATTCCACGCCGCGAGATCCATCGAGACGGCGACCCCGCCGGGAGATCAATCCAACAAAGAAAAACATCGACTAGTTGGACTGCTTGACGGACTGATTGATAATATCTCCCGAAGCTTCGATCTTCCGCTCGCTCCACAGCCGTTCCATGTGAGGCGAAACAAGCCGCATCTGGCGCCTACTGACATGTTATTCCATTCGATTTTCCGATGTGCTCTTGGCTGACTCTTCGCCGACCACCTCATCCGCCCGGGACGTGGCTTATGCCACGCTCTGCAGCGTTGATTCAGCTGGTCAGCCGAATCCTGTCCCGAAAGATTTTCCCCCTGAATGGAACTCGCGCGGAGAGCTCACTCACCGGGGTATTTATCCCCAGAAGCTCTTTTTTTTTCGTCCGCACGTTCAATTAGCTCCCTGCGAATGCTCTAAGCCAACGAAATGACATCAAAAGAGCCTAACAACAGCGCTGATTTTTAATCCCGCCCACCGAGTCCCCGAACCGAACTCTGGACCGACCGGATTTCTGGAGCAGGAACGGCGAATGATGTGAGAGACGCGGAGGCTCCAGGAAAATCCCCCGCTAGAGCAGGTCTTGTCGACGACAGTTATAAGCTCGTACATGTCAGTCGCGTCATCTCCTCCTCTCCATACACAAATTCCCCCTCCACATCTCCTCCGACTCGCTCATCGCCAACGAAGCCGAGAGAAGCCTTTCGTGTTGTCTCGCCTGTGTCTGCGCGATGGTAGCCACAGGCATCTCGGAAGACGAGGAAGCAGGCTCCGAAAAACGGGTTCCGTCGTTTCCCCTAGTTCCTGTGCGTTTGCTCGGCAGGAGCGATCCTTATTCTCAGCCACAAACTCCGTCGCTTGATTCAAGTTCGCCGAGTTCTAGAAAAAAAAACGCTAGAACTCGTTCTAGAAAAAGAAAAAGAAAAACTCGTTCAGCGTGTAACGAGCCGACCTCCCGGTGGAGACCATGTCCCGTCGAGCTATCGGACTCTAAGAGATCAAAGTTCATGCTGCAGAGGTGGAAGACGCGATCGAGATCGATCGCGATGCGAAATGTTCGCCGCCAACGATGAGTTCTGCGGCTGTCATCCTCTTCGCTCGTGTCGGAGTCTCATGCGGGAATTCGAGGCGCACGCTCTCTTGTCTCTTCCATATTTCCTCCTTGTCAGCAAGCCCGTGGTCTTTGTAACAATGAACTTGGAAGGAGGTCCGTTAGGAACCCCACCGGCTCTAATTGGACCAGGCAATCATCTTGTTCGTTCCTAGTGGGTCGACCTGTGAGTGCGTGCGTGGGCCGGCTGGCCGGCTGGCCGTCCGTCCCGCCGAGAGGGTGTATGGAACGGGTCTCTTGAAAGGGAAAACCCGAGAAGGCGGCAAGCTGCACAAGGGGAAATAAAGACGCTTTCCGGTCCCGGTGGTGTTCGTGTCCGTCTCATCCGCGAAGACAATGTTGCGGTTATGAGGTGAGCAACCGATGAAAGTTCTCCCGGAAGACTTCCTTCACTGTGTGACGCGTATCACCGCCGCTGATTGCTGTTTAATGGGCGCGCGAGCTCTTCGCCGCAGAAGTTCGCGCAGTCGTTCATCTCGTGAGAAACGTTCGAATGAGTAGACAGTTGTAGGCACAGGCCCTGTTTGCCGAAGCCTCCCGAGTCGACACTATGGCCTTTCCGCGGCGAAAGTACTCTCGAGGAGAGTCCCAGAGGCAAGGCCGGAATACCGAATCCTCCGGATGGTTCGACTTCTGCTAGCCAGCGTTCTGTGCAGTCTGTCGATCAGTTGAGGGGAATCTTCAATGAGAATCGGAAGATTCGTTTCCTGGGACGTGGCGTCAGCTCGAGCTCGATTCAGGAGAGTGATTCACTGGCATAAACTTGAATTTCCCCATTCGGACGTAGCGGGAGGGAAAGTTATTCCGCCTCGGTCTCCCTGTCACCGAGGCGCGAAGCCCCGGCTCGAGTTTTGTCATGTCTCGGCGGGAGTCGGATGGGTCAATTGTGACGTGAGCTAGCGCACCTTATCTCTCTGTAGTTGTGACC